TCGTCCTCCAGCGCCGAGAGGCGGGCGAAGGGGTCCTGACGAGGGTGTCTCTTCTTCTTGCGGAGGCAGACAGCTTCGTCAGGCCACAGTACCTGAGAGCTGGGAAGGTGCTGAACCTGGGAGGCAGAGCCATCTAAAAGGGGGGGGGAAAAAGAAGGCGGATGGGACCTGAGGTGGCGGCTGCAGGTGGAGGGGGTTATGGCCCCCAACCCTGGCTGCTGGGTGAGGAGGGGAGCATCAGGACTAATCAATGAACTCTCAGAAAGAAAAGCCAAAAGAAAGATAGGAGGGACACGGAAGGGGTTTGGAGGCAGGGAGGAGCAGGGGAGGGACAGCCTGGAGGTGAGCATCCCAGCAGCCATCCCTGCAGGGGGCTAGGGGTGAGGGACACATCCAGGCATGGGCTGGAGACCCCTTTCTGGCACTGGAGCCAGCAGGGACCTGCCTGAACTCTGCCATGGGGGACAGAAGGGACGCTGTTGGGGACCGCGGGGTCCTCACACTCACTGGATTGTTTTCCGGATTTCGAGGAGCCCTTGGATGACTTTTTGGGCTTCTTTATCCGCTGGTATTTCAGAGCTTCGAGCCTCTCAGGTGCAGCAGCGTCCCCGGACGAAGGTGGAGGTTTTCTAGGAAGGAAAAGCAGACACGCGCCGTCAGCGGCTCTCGGCCACGCTCGGGCCTCCGGACATCCCCGGCGGGGGATTTGGTTGATCCCAGCCAGCTGTGCCATGGAAAAGGAAAAGGTGAAAAAAGCAGGGCAGGAGGAAGCCAGGCACCCAGGTGTGCTGCTCCACGGGGTACCTGCCAGTCCCCCCACGGCTGCTCGGCATCGCTGATGGGCACCGCCAGCCCGGCCGGTCCCACCAGCAACGTCCAGCGCTGGCCCCACAAGAGAGCTGCCAGCACCCCAGCTCACCTGCCTGCCATGCCAGCACTGCTAAACAAAAAAGGATGGGGCAGATCCTATGTCCGATAAGGCATTTCTGGGAAGTGGTGGGAAACCCCTTGGGATGGAGAGAGAGGAAGAGACAGGCAGAAGCAGCACGGCAGCACCGAGACGGGCACCAGGAGCCACCCGGGGAGGACAACACCGGCGCCACAAACAGCAGGGAGGGAAGATCCTGCCTGGCCCTGCTCCCACAGTCAAAAAAACCCAACAAACCAGGAGCCACATGACAGACAGGGACACAAAGGGCACACGCCAACACAGCTGGGAGCAGTACCTCGGTCCCAGGTCCCTGCTATAAGTGACAATAGAAACGCAACAGCACGGGAACATCTACCCCTCAGCAGCTGAACAGGACATCAACATGAAAACACTGACAAGGTTTTACTGCAAGGGACAAGGAAGGGATTTGCAAAGGGGTGTTTTCCTGCAGGAGGGCCAGCAGTTGTGATGGTTTTCCAGCCTTAGCCCCTGAGAATGTCTTTACAGGAACCAGCTCAAGGTTAAGTGCTCTCCCCTTTGCAAAGGGATTTGTTTGCTCTGTTTTCTCCGCTGTACCTTTTTTTCCCATCCAAGGATTGGACAGTACAACTCCTGTGGAAAGCAAAGCAGTAGAGGAAACCCTTCTCCTTAGGAGACCAGTTGGTCCAGCTCTCCTCTCTAACACATCACAGCATCCCCCCCTCCTGCTGCTTTCCCATTTCCTTCCCCCTCTCCATTTCACTTCGATGTCCTTCCAAGTTGCACCAATAACACCAAACACTGCAGAAGGAGAAGGCTGAGTCAGGGCAGCAGAGGCCACATCAATGTGAGTCATCACAGAGCACCCTGCACACAAAGTACCCAGAGATGACAAGGCATGCAGCCACAAAGCACCTTTCATTGCAATAAAGGTTCAGGAGAGAAAAGCCTGGAGATTTAAACCTGTGTGCCTCTAACCAGCCTGTCCTACCCTTCAAAGGAGGAGATGACACTTCTGGTCCAGCAACTCTGTCACGGGAGGTCAGTGACCAAACAGCATGTCCACCTGCGGTGAGTTTGGAGCTCCTCATCTCCCCTGGGTTTCAGGTAGAGCCTCTCAGGCTCTGGGGACACCCCACAGGCTGTCCCCTCTGCCCTTGCTGCCAAGAGCACAGTCCCAATGCAAGGCTGCACGTTCTGGATCCCAAGCGGCTGCCGAGCGCTGATACTTCCGCTGGGGCGGCACAGGCAAAGTGGTCCCAAGGGATTTTTTCCCCTTGGGAAGCAGAAAGGGTTGTTTTGAAGACATGTTCTGCTAGCAGCACTGGAGAGCACCAAGGGAAGTGCAGGGTGAACTGATGAAGCAGCTGAGGCTCAGCAGCAGAAATCCAAACGCTGGGTAGAGAAAAGCCCTTTTCACGCTTCCCATCACAACAGAGACATCAAGGTGTGGATGCTCCTGGAGAGTCAGTTCCAGCTCCCAGCTGAGTAGTACATCAGCCAAAGACGAAGCAATTCATTAGACAAGCTGGTAGTCCTGCTGGCTGGATCCAAGTGAAAGCTCCCTCGTAGGACAGACAAGGTTTAGAGCTGCAGTGCTTAAACACCTTCATCCCACATGCAACCAGGCTCTTGTGAGAGATGCTGTGAGCAGCCCTGAGCTCCCTTGGGACCCTCCAGCCAGGCTGCACCCTGTGCACATGCTGGCTCACAGTAAGGCCACAGTGACCCCAAGGGCCAAGAGCATGGGACTCCCCTGAAGCAACTCCTTCTTGAATGGTCAGTAACCAATGGCTTGAATGGCTCTTCCCATTTATATCTACCACTCTACGACTTGCACAGGAGTTACATTCATTGGTGAATGGTGACCTCAGCTGCTCCAGCTGCATCCATCTCCTGTGGAGCTTATGTGTGCCAAGCCCTGGACCTTGGTGAGCTCAATGATCCTGCCACCATCCTGGCATCTTCCTTCCACTGCCTGCTCCCACCACCCAGGCAGCTTTGCTCATGTTAGTAAAGTTCAACTTGTAAAAGGCTTCTTGCTCTTTCCATTCTTTTCTTCCTTCTAGTAAGATGCCACTGTGGCATGTTGTCAAAATTAGACAGATTTACGGAAGGGATTAGGAGGAAATTGCCTGAAGCTCATTTCCACTAGTTCTCTGTAATTGGACTTGCATTTACACACACAAACATAAACAGTGAGCGCACTGAACCCACGTGTCACCATAAATACTGTCTGACCTCTGGCAAGAAGAGATGCAGAGGAGGATGAAACCAGGCTACTCACCAGCCACATTTTATCTGCTCTATCCACCCTTTATTTCTTCAAAGGACGTCAGTTCTTGCCAATTAATTTGCATTTTAAGCTCAGCCAAAAGCCTCTTCCTGCCCCCAGAGTTAGCATTTTGGGCAGCTGCCCATGCACAGGGGAGAACTTGAAGACCAACAGAAGAGAGGTTCAGAGAGGTGGGCAAGCTTCTTCTAGAGACTTTAGAGTAGAGCCAAGCAAAGGAGCTTCAAGAACACATGAATTCCTGATGCAAACCTTCTGCAAGGCATCATAAACACCTGCAGCAGCAGCTTCCCGAAGTCTTCAAAGGACAATCCTTCTGAACAAGCATGGTACTGGAGAGGCTGCAGAAGGACTGAGGGACCACAGAGAGCCCTAGGACAGGAGGAGATAGCCAGGGGAGAAGACCAAACCAACACAGATCTCAGCTGCTCTTCTTCAAACATCTTTCCACATAGGAAGCAAAGATGTAAGGGAGAAGGCCCATGAAAGCATCACTAACCTCTTTCTACTCAAAAGAGTCCGGGAGATTCAAGGGCACAATACACATATTTCACATTCTGAAGATCTCAACACATCTTGCCTGTCTCCTCCTCATCTTGAGTCAAGACATTGACATCCAGAAATAGCCTGGACATGTTAGACCATCCACTTGGACCAGTTAGAGCATCCACTTGGACCAGATCCCAGCATGTGCCAGCCACTGTGTCTTTCAACCCTTCATCCTCCCCAGACAAAGAGTTCAACTTGCCTACACAAGGCTCCATCTCCACCTCAAGTCCTGCACGATCCCATGAGATGTCCTGCAAATTGGAATTCCCCCTCTGCTCCATCCCAGAACGGCACTGGCGCATCGCTGAGATCCTTCAGCGTGAGAGGTGCTAGAGAAACACAGCAGTGATGGACCCTCACCCCAGAGCTGCTGCTGCTGCTGCTGCTGCTGCCAAGGCACCACAAGGAGGGAGGAGTGGGCTGGTGACAGCGGGGAGCACACCTCAGAAGGGGGTCCCCTTCCACAGGTCTGCAGACACCAAAACTCATCTACACAACGGACTCCACCATGCTGAGAGGAGAGAGGGCAAGGGAAAAGGGGCTGGACTGGAGAGGAAGAGGGGGATACAGTCACGGGGGGCTAGGGGAAGGGGAGAGAGGAAGATAAATGAAAAAAGAGGAGTGAGAAAATATAGAAGTAAATTAAAGAGACTGAAAAGAAAGAAAATAATAATAATAATAAATTCAGAAATAAAAGGAAAACGCACTCAGACAAGCGGACTCACAACTTCTCCAAGCGGGAGGAGGCATGAAACACATGCAGAGGATCAGCACATGGACAGTCTTTAAAGGGGAACCCGTTTTCTTTCAAGCAGGGAGCAAGGAGTGCTCCTCCCACACGCCTGGCACCCATGTCCCTTTGTCACTCAACACTACTCCACGGCCAAGCCCCCGAGCTCCCAGCACCGGCAGCGCTGCCCCAGCAAGGAGGCCAGGGGGCCACCCAGGGCAGGCTGCTCTGCCAAGGGGCATGGGAGCTTGGTGCCTTGTCTGTGGTTTTTGGGTTTCCCTCTGCAGGGAGAGGACAGCCCCCTTTTTCCCATTAGGAGATGAATCCCCGCGTGCTGCATCCAGGGAGAAGCTAGGAGAACTGCTCGTGCCAACTCAGGAAGGGCATTTATTTTTTACCCCTGCCCATCAGGAGGAACTGCCCATCAGGAGAGTAGTGTAGGTGAAAGAGACCTGGGGGTCCTGGTAGACAGGAGGATGACCATGAGCCAGCAATGTGCCCTTGTGGCCAAGAAGGCCAATGGCATCCTGGGGTGCATTAGAAAGGGTGTGGTTAGTAGGTCAAGAGAGGTTCTCCTCCCCCTCTATTCTGCATTGGTGAGGCCACATCTGGAGTATTGTGTCCAGTTCTGGGCCCCTCAGTTCAAAAAGGACAGGGAACTGCTCGAAAGAGTCCAGCACAGAGCTACGAAGATGATTAAGGGAGTGGAACATCTCCCTTGTGAGGAAAGGCTGAGGGAGCTGGGTCTCTTTAGCTTGCAGAAAAGGAGACTGAGGGGTGACCTCATTAATGTTTACAAATATGTAAGGGGTGAGTGTCAGGGAGATGAAGTTAGGCTTTTCTCAGTGATGACCAGTGATAGGACAAGGGGTAATGGGTGTAAATTGGAGCATAGGAGGTTCAAGGTGAATATCCGAAAAATTTTTTTTACTGTAAGAGTGACAGAGCACTGGAACAGACTGCCCAGGGAGGGTGTGGAGTCTCCCTCACTGGAGACATTAAAAACCCACCTGGATGAGTTCCTGTGTGATGTACTCTAGGTGACCCTGCTCTGGCAGGGGGGTTGGACTAGATGATCTCTTGAGGTCCCTTCCAGCCCCTAAGATTCTATGATTCTATGATTCTATGACCTTCACCCAACAACAGCCACCATTCTGCTGCCACCACTGAGCCCAAAAGCTGCCTCTCCCTCTCTTCCTCTCAGTTTTTATTACTGCAGTACAGAAATCTGGCTGGTCTGGCATCAAATCCCTGTGCTCTGCATGCACTGACAATTTTACGACCCCAAATAATCAAGGAATTACTTGGCTGGGCTCTTTACAAGCTTCCTCGCTTATTAAAGGGAGATTTAAGGGAGATTATTAAAGGCTTCCCCTTTTTGGGGATAATTATTCCAGAGTCACTCTTGTGACTCCAACCCCCAGCCACATCTCAGAGCAGGATGCATGGCTGCTCCTCAGCAAGTGTCCTGCTGGGCAATGTCACCCTGCTCCTGAAACCCCCTGAGCACCCAGCACCAGAGACAGGAGCTAGCCAGGATCTGTGCTACAGCCACATCAGACTCACACACAAGCCTGGGCTCAGCTCTGCTCTGCTCAAGCCATGTTCACTTGTGTCCCTAATGCTGCCAGAGCTGGGAAGCACCACAGAAATATAAGAAAAGGGCCACATCCTCACTGAGGGCTTCCTCACTTCTTGAGGTGTCTTGGCACAGCCCAGATCTCACCAAGGTTTGGTGCTGGCCTTGCTCCTCATGGGACACCCTGCTCTGGGATCAGCTGGGGTAAACAGAAGAAGCTCAAGATGTTTGGAGGGGTCCTCCATGGAGCACACGTTCCAAATGCCATGATCCAAAACTCCTTCCTTCCTCTCCTGCTCTCCTTACCCCCAAACAGCTGTGTGTGGCAGCTGGAGGGATTCCTCTCTCTGGAAACATCTACCTGACTTCTCTAGGCATCTCACCTCTCCCTTATGAGGCCCTTTCCCAGTCCAACACAGTTTCTCAGGTTGTTAGAAGAGCATTGGCCAAGACCTTGACTCTTCCCATGTAAGGCAGCAAAACTTAAGTTCTTGTGAGCCTTGTCCTAAGGAAGCTTGGGCATGGCCAGGCCTTAGAAACCATCCCACCTGTAGGAAACCATCCTACCTCTCCTTTCACATCCAGGTTGGCCAACAACCAAACAGATCAGCATTCCCAACACTTGGGGTCAGGAATTACTATTATCTCATCTGGCTATAGCAGTTTTAATTACATTCTGTTTTAGGGTCTGAAAACTGTCTCCCCATTACTCCATTCCAGTGCCAGGGATGCCCATGGCCATCTAGGAAACCAGCCCCATGAGGACAGCCCAAGAGGTGTTTCTTTGGAAGTTTTTCAAGATCAGCTTAGGGCTGTTTAAGTACAGCTGGGTTAGAAGAAGTCTTAGAGGTTTCTCCAAGGAGTACTTCAGAGAGGGAGAGCTTTTACTGTGACTGCACCTGTGACAGGAACAATCAAACACCTCATTGGCAGCCTGAAAATGCAGTGATGCTGCTGCCAACCATAGAGTAAAAAAGACTTCTCCCTTTTTCCATGACGTGGGAGACTTGGGAAAAAGAAAACAGATGCAGGTACTGATAGGAACACCATTCTCCATGTCCTGGACTGCAAATGGAGAACCTTTTTGGAGTGCCAGCCTGCAGGTGGTTGCTCCAGATGTGGCTGCTCTACCTGGCTCCAGAGGGTGGCCATGAGCTCCTCCTGCTTTGGATTGACCAGGACAACCCCACTGCAACAGGCACCTCCCTACCACTGCACAACCCTCACACCACACAAGCCCTGACAGGGCCAAGGGTGCCACGTGTTGCCACCCTCCAAGAAAGGAAGGGTGGCCACGGGGAGACAGCAGCTTGGCTCATCCCAAAGCCCACCTTGAAGACACGGCTGCCACTACCAGGCTCTCCAGCTCTACCACCTCCCTGAAGGCAGGGGAGCAGTGGTGTGCTGCTGGGAGGGGAAACCCAAAAGCCACAGAGACTGTGCAACCAGAGGTGTTTCCTAGTGTTTTCGGATTCCTTATTCCCCTTTAAAGGAAGAGATGGTATTGGAAAAGCCCCTTTCGTGTCCCCTCTCATGCCCCGCTCCCGGCCACCCTCCACAGCACCCACACCATCCTTTCGGACATGGATCACCCTTACCTATTGAGCTGAGGAGAAGCTTGTCTCGACAACACTGCCCAGATAGCTGAGATTAATCAAAAACAAAGCAGTTATCAACACCCGCAAGGAGCCGAGCTCCGCAACACATCAGCACGTCAACAACTCCAAAAGGAAAAAAGGAGGGAAAGAAACCAAACGGAAACACAAATGAAACGAGGCTGGAGAAGAAAGGGGGGAAAGAAACGGAAGAGAAAGGAAAAGAAGAAACGAAAACAATAATCAATCAAGCGGATGGAGACACTGCATTAAAGCACGGACAACAGGTCTGCTCTGACACGGATCTGTCCTGGAGCTGGGTCTCCTGGGGGTGCCCCAGCTAGGAGACGTGGACCTACATCTAGGTGCTCAACTGCACGGCTCCGTAGCTGTGTTTTCCAGAAGCACACAGAAGTCATCTCAGGCTGGTTCAGCTCCTCTCCCACCCCATCCTCTCCCCTGAGCCCTCCTTCCTTCCCCCTGTGCACCCCAGCTGTGCCGGAGGGGTTTCCTATGGCCATAACGCTTCCAGGTACCAGAGGGCGGGAGTGAAATGCAGAGGGCACTGCGGGGTGGGAACGCTGCCTCCCCCCTCCCCAAAACACATCCTCTGCTCCCAACGCCTCCGACCGCGCCAGCTCTGCGGGGCTGGGCTCCCCAGCCCCCCGACTCCTCTCTGCCACCAGCTGGAGGGCAGGGAGGGGGGTTGAACCCCACCAGACAACAAGCCGAAATGAAGCGAGACGAAAGGATGGGACGGAAGCACAGCTACGGGGTCTAAGGTGCTGTGAAAGACGGAGGGAAAGGGGAGGAATACAGAGAGAAAGAGAGAGAGGAGAAAGAGAGAGACGCTTTTTTTTTTTTTTTGCCTGGAGCAACCCTGGTACCTGGAAAACCAGCCGCTACTTGTCTAGTGCAGCCACATCCCTCTCTGGGGCAGGATCTGAGCGTGCCGGCAGCCTCCCGATCTCCGCTGGGGTTAGTTTATTTTTATTTTTTCCTCCTCTCCTGACATGCTGCTGGTGTGGCTAAGTCCTTGATCTCTCCCTGCCCGCGTCCCGGGGCTGCAGCATCCCTTTTGCAGGTGGGGTGGTGACCGTGATAGCTGTTTCTGTCATGCATTAAAGCTCTCTAGACTCCGCGGGAAGGAAGAGGAGGAAGACAGAGGCGCGGCGGCCCTAACGTTCGAAGAAAGCCAAGAGCCAGCAGCTAGAAGAGGAAACAACTGCCAGTGACACCAGGACACTTACCTACACAAGCCAGGTCTTTGCACACCTGGTAGGTGACCCACACAGGCTGAGTCCCAGGTGCTCCCAGCTTCCCGAGGGAGGAGCCAGGGAGGAGGCAAGCGTGAAGGTCGCCTGCCTAAAACCCGGCTCCCTCGGGCAGCGGCCATGCAACCCGCGGCACCAGCCTCTTCCTAGCAAAGCCCGCAGGATGCCATCTCCAAAAGGGATGCTGCAGCACGCCCAGAGAGACCCTACGAGTTGGGATGGTGATGGTGGGGAAGGGGTGGGAGGGAGCAGGTGAGGCAGGGTGGGGGAAGCCAGGAGGAGGGGGGGAGCGG